ATTGTAATGTACCACATTTTCTTCTCTATTAACAATGCATTTGTCATTTTTCAACAAACATGCAAAAATTTTAAATGTATGTTGACAATACAATTGTCGTCGCCATTTATATACGCTGTGTCATAGGTGTTTATATGACGTGAAAGGTGGAATATTCTGTGTAACAAAAGATACCCTTACATCCTATATTTGGACAACGGTGAAAACAACGTTTCCCTGTGAGTAGTGGCGTGTAGTAGCAGTACTTACTCTCTGCGGTGGCGGGCCGGAGGCAGGACGACAGACCCAGCATCAGACCCCAAAACAAGGTCAAGCGGTTCCTTTCCATTCGAAACCTCATTCCTGGATAAGCAAATCCTCCGAAATCCGGTGAATAAGTATACTGTGTGGAGAAAACGTCAGCAAAACCTGGTCAGAATTAATGACCCGCTTTTTAATCTCCAGTCAGGACCTTTTAGCTGTTAGTCGGCTAATGGAGCTAATAGCTACTAACGCTACAACCAGGCTAGCAGGATAGCTCTCTCACGTTTGCGAACAGGAGTCCAATCGTGCTCCACAAATCACCGATTTATTCCTCTGTTCAGACGATGTGTATTCATAGTCCTGTTTATTCCTGCCAAAAACAGAACCGCATTGACGTGTATGGTAACACCAAAGCAGCTAAACCAACGGCAGGGATTCCGCTGTACTCCGCATCTTCACACTCCATATCTGGAGTAAAAGACGTTCAACGTCCTGCTGATGAAGGGTCCAAAGGAGACAGAAAACGTGTCAAAGCCCCTTAAAATGGGATGGAAAGAGGCAGTGTATGGCATACAATGACATATTAAATTGATACACAGCACCCTTGTGTGTACGACACGACGTTTGTTTCGAAATATCCAGGATAAAACCTTGTTTCAGACCGCCACCACCTCCTTCTCCCTCCTCCTCAGCCCCTCATCATGCACGCACACACACCGCGTTGTTATGGTAGCTATAATTTGCCTTCATTTCAACGTAAAATTTAGTATTTCACCGTATATTGCTCCGTGTCAGGTCAAGCCCTCTGGCTTTCTAATGTCCTCCGTCGACAGACAGCAGAACAGGTAGCGCAGTTACACAAATTGATGTGCGGGTACAAACACAGCCTCCGTTGCTCAGTCTGCTGTGTTCGCTGTAAACACGGTGCCGTGCGCCTAGATCTTCTCTTTTTGGGAAGATGACTCACTCGGACTTCTATCCCGCCTTCCGGTCTATCTTCTTCGTTTCGTTTACAGGCAGATTGCTATGGAAGTGGACCACCGCCATAACATTTGAGGGCGCACTAACCACATTTCAAGCGCTACTCAGTTTGCAACCCAGCTTTTGAGAGTCTGCAGACAGATTTGTAAGAGCTCTAACAGATTTGAGAGCGAGGGAGGACAGGATCCTGAATGTAACAGATGATTTGAGTGAGAAGGGAGGATCCTCCCTCACTCTTAAATCTGATTCTGCACTTACAATCTTGTGTGCTCTCAAAGTTTGATTTGCTAACTAAAGAGCACTTGCAACTTGTTTGTGAGCTTTCAAAACTTTTGGTGCGGAAATCTGAGAGCGCATGCACGTACCTAGATTAGGCTCTCAAATCTGTATTTGCTCTCAAATGCTCATTTGCAAACTGAGTAACGCTCGAAATGTGGATAGCGCGCCCTCAAACATTATGGCGGGGATCTGCTTCCACAGACTGTGAACAAACAAATAATGTACATAGACCACACAACATTAAATTACCTAAGTGATAAATTTAAATAAATGATATCCTGTTTATTAATGTAACAAACTAATCCCATTTTGATCTCTCCCCAAGCTCTCCTGGACTCCGTACTCCTGTGAACTGACTTATAGTAGGCCCTAACTAATTTCTGTGTTTCATAGTAGTGTCCCTTTTTTAGTATTGGCATTCCCTTCTTCTGGCCATTGCCTATACTGGTCATTGCTGTTCGAATTAGAGACTTTGCTTCCACCCTGCCACAAGCTACCCTGATTACTTCAGCACTGTGTAATTTTAAAGCTTCTGCCAGTTTATCTGCTTGTTTGTTTCCTTTAACACCCACATGAGCAGGAACTCAACAGAAATGTATGTCTATTCCCATTCTTTGTAATTGTAAAAGCAGATGATCTATTTCTGTCATGACAGCGCCTCTATCAGTTTTACCTGATGATAACCTCTGAGAGCTGCTACTGACTGAGCAAATTGTTGTTTTAAATGGTTTAACTTGTTTTACCCAGTGTAGAGCAAAACATATTCCGACAGTCTCTGCAGAAAATATAGAAAATAGAAAATACTATATCTTATCAGTCAGTTTACATTGGCATCACCAGTCCCTATGTGTTCACTGGGCTCTATCAGAACCCATATGAAGGCTGTCATTAAAATGTAGCTACTGTATGTAGCCTCTTCCCAACATTCATCTCTCCTCATCTTCTCAGTCTCGCTCCCTCCCAATAAGATAATCATAGTTTATCTCGTCTAAGCTGTAATGGCAACTCACTGGCTGCTACTAACATTCTTGGAGATGTTGTCATAGCTCCTCAACACAATCTTAAAGTGCTACTCCGGTTCTCGTCTAATCTAGCTATGTGAACCGGGTGTCTCTCTTATGTTTGGCCAGGAGAGCAGTTTTAGCAGTGACTAGTCTGGTACTAATCACAAGGTCGCTTTTTCAATAGTGTGTTTACAGTATGTTGGACCGTAAACGCTATCTACACCACATCTTTATTTTTACCGTTAGGCTATTTACAACAGAGGACAATTTCACTGTCCCCTCTTTCCTTCTACAGTACTATCACATGGGCTAAGACACGACCTTAGGGGTTAAAAAGTGGAAGATCTTAGATCCAATAATACGCTACACATAAAAAACAAATTCTCCAAATTGATTAAATCATTTGTTTATATCCATATTCGTGAAGGCCCACGTCATCATCGTAAGAGATAAAAAAAAATGTAGACAGAGTGAGACGTCTGTATTTCTTTCTCCTCTCAGGTTACAGCGGTAGCGACTCCTTGTGCGCCCCTGTGCGAAGGAAAGCCGGGATGTTGATCCAGGATTTGGGTTGTTTTGCTGCTCACAAATACACAGCGGAGGGCTGCCTATACAGAGATTGTGTCTATCTGCACTACCTGTAATTGAGCTCCAGTTTACGCATTCACATTGGTTTCCTTAGGCACCGTGGTTTTCATGTGCGGCCATTCACACTGTAAATATCTCTTGCTCCTTATATGTAACGGCCTATAGCCTATTAATTAACCCACGTGACTGCATTGTCTGTCTTATTGTTATGTATACATAAAATAAGGCGTGATGATCATTGCTTTTACATTACAACACTACTTAGATAAAACTGTTCTAAATGCACTGTAATATAACTGATCTTATGTATATTTCACAAAAATCACAAAGAGATATAGAACGTATGGGGGGATTTTTTTCTGGAAAAAACAACAACATTTTAGAAAATTAGACCCTCAAATACATCTTATAATGATAACAACTCATGTAACAACATTGGGATCTGGCTTTCCTCTGAAAAGAGACTGAAATGCTGCCATCCTGAGGGAACAGGAACAAACCTCTGAGTTCTAATCAAATATAAGAGTGAGGGTTATGCTGATTTATTTGTGCTAAATTTATACTGAATGTCTTTTACAAAAAAAGCCCTGAATATATTAATGTGTTCCTCTTAAAAGACAAGTAAATATTTTTCTTTGCATAATTTGCTATCTACAGGTCTCCGTGGACATAAACTCCTTGGACATGTCAGTGCTCTGTACAACCCCTAAAGCTAAACCGGGATTTCAACCATTAACCTTGGCCTTACATGACCTACTGAGCCCCAGCATGACCATAAAACTAAGGGAAAATAATGTCTACTGTATCCTTGTCTGCTGACCCTATAGGGAGGCAGAAAAGTTCAAGATGTACCCATCACATGTAGAGATTTTAAAACAATTCATCACATCACACTGACTTTTACTTTGTTTGAGACACAGACAGACACAGACCTCTTGTGAGGTCTGAGGTCCAGGTTGAGGGCCGGGTAGGTGAAGGTCGAGGGCCAGCAGCTTGTGATGCTGTGAGAGAAGCAGACAGTAAACAAAACTGTCCATAGGAGAGCCCCTGAAAGTTTTGATTATTCCTGTAACCACAGGCTGCTTTCATCACTCTCTGGCAGACAACACTCAGCATCTGTCACAATCTAACCGTCTTTCAGTGAGAGAAATAAAAGCACATTAAAAATGAAGTGAATATCAGTGGCCACCCAAGAGTCCAGATACAGTGAGTCACCCTCTAACAAGTGCTCACTGTACCAACATGACCCCTTCTGTGCCAGAGAATGTTGTGCCTGTCTACTTGCATTTGTTAAGTCCCTGTTCAAGTCCCCATGAAGGCAGCCGGTGGGCCCACCTACCTCGATCATCCCGGTGGAACCCATTCTCACACTGCACTCATGTGGAAATAAGCCTGTTTACCACCAACAGGTCACACATGCTAATGAGCATCTGTTTGTTTTCCACTGTGCTCATGCAAGAGGAAGGGAATTTAGGGGGAAACAATAGATGATATTCAGACAACAGTCTGGGTGGCTTTATAGCACTAATGATGAAATTATACAACAGAGAATTGATGGATGTGAAATTGGAAGAGGAAATGTGCTCTGACAATTTTCTGATGCTGATCGCACAGATATGCACAATGTTGTAGTTGTGGGTCATGGATCCACAGATAGAGTGACATCAGACCACAGGCTTCTCTGATGAGGCTCCATAGCACAGGTTGATACACTGACCAGCAAATTTATTAGGCACACCTGTACAATTGTGTGCACTACAATGCAACACTTCCACCTTAACATCTGTGTTTATGAAGCTCAAAATGTTTCAGATTTTTGTGAAATCATTATAGATGTACAAAATCAATTATATGTTTATTACTGAGGTCATAGTCATAGTTAAAGGTAGTGTTATACTGGACTACATTATATTCAAAGGTGTTCCTAATATTCTGACCCTCTCATGTATGTAGCCAGGGAGGACAAAAATATAGAGACACCACTGTCTCTGTATTTGAGAGTCATTTATTTATTACCAGTGTTTGTTAGAAACACTCACACATGGGAGGGTGAATGAGCGAAAAAAAAAAGGAACGGACCCAGACGGCTGATTTCACTGCAAGCAATATTTATTCGTGCTATACAGACTATATACACAGGTGAGATGAGAAGGTAGGCTAAACAGGAAAATGGGAATGAGAATGACCGTGTGCTGATCAGTTAGCAGTAACAGTACATGGGAGGCATAGATGAAGCTGGCATAGATGAAGCTGGCCTAGCTGCGGACGCTAAGGTCACTCCTGGGCTGGCTGGTGGAGGTGGTAATGGCTGAGGAGACAGAGTAGAGATGGATGATAAGTAGATGGAGTCTGATGACTGTGTACCGACCTGGCTGGTGGAAGCTGGAAGAGTGGTGAGGAGATATGGTCGGCAGGTAACTGTCCATGGAGAGGGTTGAGAGGAGGAACAGAGCGGGTGGACGAGAGGGAACAAAACTGGATAAACAGATACACAATGGTGAAGAGAATGGTGCTGGTTGTTGGCCTGAGAGCATCAACGAACTGGCAAGGGAGCGGTAAGTGAGCTGGGTATAAGTAAGGTTGAAGGACTAATGAAGTGCAGCTGGTGTTAATCAAGGGATGTGAAGCAGGTGTGCGGGGGAATGATGAGCCAAAAAAAAAAAAACAGGGAGGTGAGAGAGGCAGGTGCAGCCGGGCAAACCTGACAGTGTTTAAGTGCTCTTGAGCAAAGCACTCAAGTTTCAGCTGCTGTGAAGCTGTTCAGAGCAGGACATTGCTGATAAAGAACATTTGAGCTCATCCTGGATAACTGTAGGTTACAAATGCTATGTCATAGCTTTAATCAGCACAACCCCACAAGGAGAGGGGAGGCCTTGTATGCAATATTTGTCTAGGAGGTAAAACTTTGAAATCTAAAAACAGAGCCATATTATATTTGTCATACAGCATGGAAATATGTTTTGCATCCCTGTTGTTCATTTTAAATATGGAAAAATATGGAAAGCACAGGTGTTACTAATAACATTAACAATGGCTCTGTTGTATAGATGTATTCCAGTCAGCATGCTGCATGTACACTGACATAAGGAAGCAGCTAGATTACATTCAGCCATTATTAGTTTAATTATTTACTCATTTTTCTCCTGTGAAGTGGGTGGTGTGAGTCAAAAAGCAGGTATTGGTCTGTGTGTGTAGGTTTCCTGCTTTTTGACTCACACCACCGACTTCAACACAAACTGGGAGTCATCAGAACTTTGAATCACAGGGCAGAGGAAGTGCCCACAACGGCAGAAGGGGCCAAGAAGGAAAAATTACACATCCAGAACTCCCTTAAGGCTTGTGGATAGCCTAAGTGGGCCTTCACCAAAGCTAGGAAGAGACCCAACACCAACAGGGAGAAATCGGAAACAAGAAGGGATAACACTGTCATCCCTTATGTGGCTGGTTTATCAGAGAAATTAAAAAGGATATTTCAGAACCACAATATCCCAGTTAACTTTAAACCAGAGAACACCCTGCGGCAGAGACTGGTCCACCCGAAGGACAAAACACCCAGACACAAACAGAGTGATGTGGTGTATGCAATTAAGTGTA